CCTGCCCTGTCTCTGCACCAAAACTGCAGCTCCCCTTTCATCACCCCTGGCAGCAGAGCCAGGAGGAGGCTCAGGAGTCTGAGCGTGGTCCAGTGCCACGCGCTCTCGCAGAAAAAGATGCCCAAACCAAACGGCTCCCCTGCAGCCCAGGACTCTGCCCACCCTTCTACTTCATGGGATCTCCATCCCTTTTGCTCAAAGCCACCCAAATCCTTCAGCCTTATACAGATGGACAAAAACAGTCCCCCGGCCCCCAGGGAGCTGCTGGGAGCATCAGAATGATACGGGTGTGAAGGCAGATCTCTGCAAGGCAATTTAGCTCACAGATCCCTCCTCAAAAAGTGGGGAAATGCTGGAGCTTTTTATCGACTCATCCCAGGGCAGCAGAGCATCCCTGGACCCTGCGGCAACGACCTTCAGTGCAGGAGAGGCCGTGTCCCAGAACTGTGCTAACAGGGACGCCCACTGGCACCGCAGGCAGGCACAGGGCTCCCACACCCCACGATCACCCCTGGTCTCCCCAGCTGTGACACTGGGGTGCTGCCAAAGGATCGGCTTTTCTGGTCACTCACCAGCTGAGAAATGAGGCTCTGCCCTCCACACGTACATGGAGAGGGCTGTGAAGAGCTCGGGGCATGGCAATACAGCAGGAGGGCTCCCAGGAGGACACGGGATGAGAAGAGAGACACTGGCACTGCCCATCCACACGCCAGTCCCTTCCCTTCCTCTGCTCCAGCAGTTGAATGATGCAGCAACAGATGGAGAAGCACACCACTCATCTGCTGCAGATCCTTCTCCCTAGGCAAGAGCTTGGCTCATCCTGCCTGCGCCATGGTAATTCTGCAGCTAAAGCAGGTAAAAACACCACTGAAAGCAAACAGAGACGTGACACGAGCGCGTCCTTGGCTCTCGCCTCTTGGCAGCGGCTGCAAGGCAAGTGTCTCACACACCTTTCACACCGTCCCACCTCAGCAGCCCAAGGCAACGCTGCCAAGGAAGACAACGCCAGGCTGTACCCGTGCTCTGGGCTCTGCTTTCCAGTACCAAAACCACAAGACTCTACCAAATGAATCCTTTACTGCCCGCCCTGTTTGAAAGCTGAGCTTGGAGCCATCACCAAACCCATCCTCATAGCAGTGTGCAGTTCCTCCCTTCCTCTTCCTCACTCTCTGTGACACGAGCCCTGCAGAGCTCACCAGGAAAACACCACTGCTGTGTCTCAGCAGCAACACAGGTCTGTGTGTGCTCAGAGTGGGGCAAGGAGACCACCACCAGCAACCGGAGCTCACCTGGAAAACTCTGAGAGTGGGGCAAGGAGACCACCACCAGCAACCCCAAGAGCACTGCTGGACCCTTACTGGATGTTCCTGATCCCCAGAAGTGTCACTGATCAGCTTTCCACGCCAGCAGAAGGCTCAGATGCTCTCACAAGCACGCAGATGTGGGGCTCTTGGGCAGCTTGGAGAACTGGCAGCTGAGTTTTACATCCCCTCGAAGTTTGTTTTGGTTCTTTTTTAGAAACTTCCTTTCTCAAGGAGGCTGCTACGCCGTGACATTTCAGATCAGCCGCTGTGCCCCACCTCAAAGGCAGAGTCTCTCTCTCCCAGCTCAAAAAGCAGAATGTGACCTTCCCAGCTGGAAAAGCTTCACAGCGTACGATGCTCACGCTAATAAAGTGGGTTAACGCATCCCCAGCGGCTGCCCTTGAAGCGTTTGCTACTCTCATCGCTGTTCCACTTCTGAAGAGCCTCTCCCGTACCTGAAGACGCCCCCCAGCACCCCTCCATCCCTGCCGCCCCTCGCCAGACCGCTGGGGTGGAGGCTGCGCCTGCTTTCTGCTGGGAAGGCAGCTCCACAGCTGCTGCTCAATTCTGCAAGCTTGAGAGGGAAAAATACTTACATAAGGAGTGGTTTGTTTGGGAGATTTTTTTTCCCCTTCTCTCTATAATTGGACAGTTTCATAACCGAACTGACAAATAACTTTGATCACTCTTCAGGATAAGAGATTACGTGATGTATTTTATAACAAGGGAAGGAGGCTGTTCAATAGAGTCCCTACCGGGAGACCGAGGCAGCAGGAGTCAGATCTACAACCTGGTTTTCTAGGGAAGAAGAAACCTCAGCTGCATTATTCTGCTGGTAACGTAAATTAGTGCTCAATTAGGTGGCAAGTTAGTGGCCAGTCCTCACTCCTAACGCAGCTGAGACAGCTTAACCCGGCGCATTAACCAGAGGCTAATCAATAAGATGGATAACTGTCCTGCAATAATCCTCACAGACCGCTGCTATTTTCGGAGGGGACTTGTGCTGGCATTAGGGTCTGATATTGTGGCTTTGCCTGTTTTGGAGGGGCGGTGGTGACCCCTGAGCACATGGAGGGGGCACATCCGAGGGGGGTCAGAGTTTTGGGAGAGCAGCTGCTGATTTGTGTGTCATGCAGCAGGAGTTGTTCACACAGAGAGGGCTGACACCTTATTTCTCAGTTCTCCTAAGGGCAACTGTTTAATATTTCACGTGAAGTGACCTGCAGAAATGCACAGCCCTACTTCTGTCCTTCTTGGTGAGCTGGAGCTGTCCCATCCGCCCCAGCCCGAGCCACAGGAGCCAGCTCGGCAAGGCACCAGCTGGAGCCAAAGGGATCCTCAAGGGAGCTGGAGGCTGGTGTGCAGCCAAGCAGGAACCGAGGATGCAGTCCCAGCGCAGTCCCTGTCAGCTGCAGAGTGCTAAAAGCTCCTGTGTCCTGGGCCCGAGCAGGCTGGAGCGTGGGCAAACCCTGGAAAGGGGCCCTGACCTCTGCTGGGAGTGGACAAGGGCAGATGCTCTATGAGGGCCTGGTCCTGTTTCGGTGCTGCTCTGTTTGAATGCTCTGCGTGTTGTCCTGACTGACAGCTCCTGCCCACCTCAGTCCCTGTCTGGTAGCTCCAAACGACCAACGCTCTGCAGAAGAACCTCAAAGCTGCACAAGCAACGGGATGCAAACAAAATTCTCCCAGATCGACCTTGCACTTCCACATGGAAGAAGGACTAAGTGAGATGTAAATACTGACTGTAGGTGGTAATGAACTTGCCTATGCTTTCTCTGAAAGATCGCTTCTCTCACCTGCACCACAGCCTCAGCTCCTTTGGCAGCGTGACCACATCGTGGGCTGAATGCAAATCGAAGCGTTTCTGCCTCGCTGCTGTTGCATGCCCGAGAAGCACAACCTGCCCTGTGCAGAGCGGCCAGCCATAGCTCTAGGAAAGCAGAAGGTTTAAGCTCCCACAACAGTTGCGCAGCACTGCACGCGCTGCAGCGTAGTACTGCCTTCACACACACCACCAGCACAGCCTCGAGAGCCTCTCAAGAGCATCACGCTGCTGGGGCTACCAGAACGTACAAACCAAGAGCTGCTGGGCCAGGAGGCTTTCACGACACCAGGAGAGCCACCAGCTCTCTGTCAGGTCTGCAAGCACGTTCAGGGGACACAGCACAGCAAAAAGGCCGAGGCAGTGATCCACAGGGCTCCCCACAGCCTGCTGCTTCCGAAATCCAGCTTCAGGTGTGCAAGAGCTGCAGCTCCCAGCACTGCCCAGTGTTGAGATGTGTGGCAGTCACCACACAGGGGAACTGTGACAGGGAGATGTCCCATGGAAAGGTTCAAGTGCCCTCGTCTCCTGCCATCCCTCTACAGTAAACACTTCAGGATTTTTAATCTCTCCATAAGAAAAGCAACAATAACTAATGCCATCAGTTTAAATAAAGGCTGAAGTCAGAGAAGTGGAGGAGTCTCAGAACACAAACACCGGAGAGAGCTGGAAATGAAATGAGGGCGATGAAAAGCTCCAAGACACCTTCTTGTTTCCAAAGGGAATGCTCTTCCCCTTTCCTCTGAACACGCCGAACCGCAGAGGCAGCTCAGAGCTCTGCGGAGGCATCTGTCCCTCGCTGGAGATTACATAAGGAGATCTAGCAGCCTACTCCCGTCTGGCAGCAGTGGTTGATGAGATCACAAACTCCCTCTCTGGTACGGATGCTCCAAGGTTTGTTTTGCTCCAAGGTGTTAGATTTGTGTCTGGTGTAGAACTACAAGACTCAAGACGCTGCTTTCAGAAAACACCGCAGCAGCAGCGAGGAGCTGCTGTGTGCAGAGCCTGCGGAACAGCCCCAGCAGGATCACCTCGGCGCTGCTCCGAGGAGCTGCTGAGCAGAGGTGGCCGCACACCCCACAAGCCCGGCGGTGGAGCAACGCCACCAACACGGGCCCTGCTCCCTGCATGGGCGCTGGCTCTGGCCTGAGCCTAACGGCAGGGTGACCCTGAGAGAAGGGAAGCACTTGTCAGGCCGAAGTCCCAGAGGCTTTGCCCTGCTCCAGATCCTCTCCTCAAGCCCCGCTGTGATTTAATCAGTCTGAAGCTGAGCCTTGGTGGCAGCTGGGGCTCACTGCGATCCAGTGCTGTCACCTACCGGCTGGCTGCGCCCCCGCAGCTCCTTGCGGAGTGCAGCAGCAGGGAAAAGCCCAGAGGAGCAGCACTGCAGGCTGCGCTAGGCTCCAAGCGCCCAGGAAAACTGCATTTCCAGCTCCTGGGTATTAACATCAGCACCACAGAAGGAACTAAGCAAGCAGTCGGGCTGGGTCTGCAGCAAGGGCTGTGTGTGCTTCTGGGCACTGTGTCAGAACAAGCAGGGAAACAAGGAAGGAGCGGTTAACTACCACGTAACCACCACGACGGGCTGGGGAGAACGGGCCAGCAAGGAGGGTGCCCGCTGCAGAACTGGCAGCCATAAATGAGGGGCAAACTGAGGCTCTGAAACATCACCATAGGCCTGGCATCCACAGCCCCTCCACCTCCTCCTCTCCCTGCGTTTGTACCTGGCGGACGGGCTCCGGGATCCGGTACCTGCAGCAGGACTTGACCAGACGCACGGCTGTCTCCAGGCACACCCTGTGGCCCACAGAGACGTAAAGCGGCTTAGAGCTGTTGTTGTAGCTCCGCAGGACCTGTGCATCCAAAAACCAAGAAAGATCAAACACTTAAGAGGCTTATTTTAACAAATACAGGGTGGCAGATGAATTATAAGCTAGCCAGTTGCCTTCAGAAGGTGGGATGGTGGCTCTGTATTTGCTAAATCCCAGCCTTCTTGATCCCTTACCCCCAGTATCTCCTCACAGGGACTGTTTGCCCTTTTGGACCCCTGTGGCCCTTCCCCAGATGCCTGGTGCTGCTCTGGGAAGCAGCGAGAGCCGTGCTAATACAGACTACATTGAAGTCACACCAGATGCAGGAAGTTTCTCAGGTCTGCCCGTTCCCCGTGCAGCCCTCTCCTGAGTCAGGCACTCCCGTGGTCAGGTGCTACACAACGGGCACCTGTGGTTCACAAATGGGGATGCTGGAGCCTGGCACCTCATGGACGTGAATGTGTCCAGCACCCAAACTGTCAACTCTTTCCACAAATGTCTGAGCCCACAGGAAGGGGAAAGCAGCATCACTGGTCACCGATTCATGCCATGTCCTCCTGAACCAACATCATGGAGACAGTCCCACTCTACAGACAACACCTCCCAGTGCTCCCAGCTAAACAAAGCTTAGTGGCCGAGCAAACAAGAAAGTCCCTGCAGCTCACCATGCCCAGGACTGTCCCCGATGTGCCCGTCAGGGGGAAACCATCTCCCTCCTTCTGCAGGGAGTGAACCTAGGGACAAACACACGCAAGCTCCATTGATTAGAAAGCACCGATCCTCTTGGGATGTTCAAGAGCGGAAAGAAATTCCCAGCCTGGCCTAACCTGCTCTCTGTGCAGCTTATCCCTGACCAAGCCATCCACGTGCAGGAGGTTCTTGGCCACCCCGATGCACGGTAGATCCGTCAGGACTCCCAGGTGACAGGCCACACCAAATCCTGCCAACAACGAGTCACCGTCACTGCGGGACACCGGCCACCAGGAACCTCAAACGCCAGCATGGGGACCACGGAGTGCAGGGCTCTCCGGTGAAGTCCTACCTCTGGGATGGAGCAGGCCATTCCCGTCTACAAGAAGCACCTGAAAAAGCCAAAAAAGGAGATGTTATTTCCTGTGCAATAAGCAAATGGTGACGCTGGCCATGTGAGGAAGGAGAAATCAGTGTGGTCTCCGGGGGGAGGAACACTTTTCAGCAGTGCCCTGCACCCTGGTGACATTTCAGCTCAGGACAAAGAACCGCAGCACACCTGAGGTTTGAGCTTGGGATCCTGAAGTCTCTGCACAGCTTCCACCAGGAAAGGGACCTCTCGGAAGGCCAGGAATCCTGCCACGTATGGGGTGCTCACAGCCACCATCCGGCAGTCCTCGTAGAGCACCTAGGACAGTGTGGGGACAGTGACCTCCAGGGCTTTGTGGCTGGATCCCGACTGTTCCAGAGCCACCTCCTCTGCTTTATGTCCCCTGCTCCTCTTTTTTAGAACACTCTGCCCATGAAGCCACACATTGGGTTGCGTCAGCCTGGCACTCAGTCAGAGCCAGGGGGAGATCACGGAGGGCCAACAGGACGTCATCTACCGTACCCTGCTTGGGAGCGAAGTCCTTGAAGCAAAACCAGGGCAGCTATTGAAGCGCACAGTGGGGCACCCCAAAGTTTGCCCGGCCAGAGCGTTATCAAAGGGCGCCTGACTCTGCGCAGGGACGGGCCAGAAGAAACCCCGTGACAGGGGACAAAAAAAGGGCTTGTGCAGGGCAAGGCAAGAATCGAGGCAGGACTTGAAACTCGGCTCATAAAAATCCCAGCAGCCAATACCGAACTTCATTCCTCTGCTTGTTACAGGTTTTACAGATAAATCTCGTATCGTTTTGAAAGCTGGGAAAGAGACCAAAAATCTTTATTCATTCGAGCAAAATGACTGCGGGATGTGGGATTCACGGCGGTTCTGAAAAGGCTTTTACAGGTTACATCCCAGATTATGAGTCCATTCCCAGCAAGGACTCACAAACAAGACATCTGCTGCTCGAGGGCTACAAACGCTTCTATTTCGTCTCTCGCTGGGCACTGAGTAATGGTCCTTTTTGTCCCTTTGTGGGCAGTGGCCGAGACTGATGATTTTCAACACACACCTAAAGCAGTTGAAGTCCTGTGTGTCTGACCACAGACACATCCCATCGCTGCATTTTCTGATGTACCCACGAACTCTCACACATACTCAAGTTATCCCTCACGCCTTGCGAGTTCCCAGTAATCCCATGAACCTCTTCCCATCAGGAGCAGTTTGCATCCCGGCTCCCTGAGCTTACATCTAAATCCTTAAACACATATTGTTGTTTACTTTTCGTAGGGTTGGGGGCTTTGTTGAACACAGGTGACAACTGCAAGGCAGAGGCGCAGGAGATAACGGCCTTTGTGTAAGTTTTCTATAAAAACTCTCACACTTTGGCAGCCCTGGACACAACCCCGAGGAGCGAAGCCGTTACCTCCAGAGCGGGGTAGCTGAGGACGACCAGGGAAGCGCAGGCCTTGGTGTCATCGCCTTTGATGTAGGACAAGTCCACGCCTCCCACTCGCTCCAGGCCTGCAAAACCGGGATCTTTCTGCCACTCCTCGGTGTCCTCCTCCACCACGTCGGCCTTCAACCGGGCCTGCTCTCTGCCAGAGACCCCGCAGCCCGTGAAGGCCCCTCCTCGCCCCACACCAAGGCCCTGGCTCCCCCCTCGCTGCACGAACCGAGCCCCACC